TGAATGATCAGACAACAACTTGACAGGAGTGTTGCCTTCTGCTGGAGCTAAATTTAATATGTTGTCAAAATATTGATCAAGGGCTTCTTGACCAATGTCAACAGGCATAAGACAAGTGTCCTGAAACATACAATGTTGTTGTCTGTCATGCAGAAGCTCACCTTCCTCCGCAGCAGCAATACTGTCATCACTACCATTACCATCTACTGCTGCACTATCCTGTTGTGCCACACTCTCTCTTGTTCCCTACAAAACTCATTTAACCATGCTTCATTAAAATCTACATCCTTATAATGTACATTAGTCCGTTTCAAATACTGTAAAGCCTGCTTAATGCGCATACTATCAACAAACTGGTACTCATAATGCCCCTTGTATGTGAGTTTGCGCTTCAGTTTGACAGGTAGCAAAGACCCATCCATGTCCGAACGCGGCAGCAAATTGCTCGTCTGCACAATATTAGCAGGAACACACGTTACAGGCCCATGGATGCCATTTTGCCCACCTTTAGGCAACGCCAGCAACTTCATGAACGGAATATGCAGCGCAATTAAATGTTGCTCTAAAGTATTCAAGCATGCCAATTCTGGTGGAATACAACACGTCGCCAAATTATTTAAAGCAGATTCAGGTGGCATTATACCTCTACTAATTTTATTGTGACAGCTCAAACAAATCCACAACTGACCCCTAGCTGTATCTAACCACTGACATGGCAATACACAATCTGGATTACATTTATGCAAATACTCTTCACTAATACATCTATCTGCAATTAAACCTATTTCTTTTCTTCTACTGTAATCCTTCCTTCTACAAGGTAAAACTTGATGACAAAACAACCCTCTAAAGCACACACAACAGACAAACTCCGGGCCATCATTTACTTTACCCAAAAACTGCTTCATAACTAAATCAAACTCCTTTAATGTTGCTTTTATACGTTGCCTCCTCAATTTCATACGTGCAATAACACGCTGCCTATGCTGACGATTTCTATATTTCTTTCTACTCCATTTCTTTACTCTGTCCCTGTGTGAAAGATTTATCTTATATTTAGTTTTACTAAATGTCTTTACTCTGTCCCTGTGTGAACGATTTTTCTGATATTTAGTTTTACTAAATGTCTTTACTCTGTCCCTGTGCGAACGATTTTTCTGATATTTAGTTTTACTAAATGTCTTTACTCTGTCCCTGTGCGAACGATTTTTCTGATATTTAGTTTTACTAAATGTCTTTACTCTGTCCCTGTGCGAACAATTTTTCTGATATTTAGTTTTACTAAATGTCTTTACTCTGTCCCTGTGTGAAAGATTTTTCTGATATTTAGTTTTACTGAATTTCTTTACTCTGTCCCTGTGTGAAAGACTTGTCTGATATTTAGTTTTACTCATTTCCTTCAATTTTTCCTTGTACCAACTTTTTGCCTGATAATTCATTTTCATCTTTTCTAGAAATTTCTGCCTGTTTTCCTGATATTTGATTTGTTTCTGCAACTTCTTTTTCCTTACAAAGTACTTAGATGGAGACTTAACATTTAAGCTATTTGGGGATTGGGCCTTTACAGATAGTGTACTACACTGCTGTTCCATTACATTTTGTTGAATAATTTCTACCTCAGCATCACAACTTGACAAAGCAACTGAAGTCAAAGTGTCTGCACAAACACTACGTTCTCTGAAATTGTACCTAGACCCACCCACTTTGCAATACCCATAGCAAGACTGCACGCTTGGCTGCTGAACACAAACAACAGTCTCATAGTGGTTACCATTGCAATTTTCTAAATAAATTCCCTGATTTGACAACGGTCTGTATTTACAACTATATTCAAGCCAGCGATTGTCACAGTAAGTGAATATACCAACTCCCAAAAAATCTGCTGCAGCTTGAATCTCCACTTCAGTGGCCCAACTACCGACATAGGCCATTTTTGACACACTGAGATATTCCTCCATTGAAGAATACTCAGTTCTCAAAATACCACCATTAGCTCTCAAATGCTTTACAACAGCAAGTCTAATTTTCCTGTGATACTTCTGTGTACCACACACAGCCTGACTAACTGCTCTAAAGAAACAGTTACCATCGCTAACTATTTTCTCCTTCAGACAAGGAGCACCCAACGGACCAACTTCTGTAGAAACTAAATCTACTTTCTCTGAATCAACATTTAACTGTTTGCACAGAGTGTCTACAACTTCCCCACAAAGTGGATTAAACTGGAGCCCTTTACTCACAACATCAGCTACAAAAACAACATCTGAATTAACTGCAGCAAAATCACTGTTTTTCGACTTCTTTGATGAAGACACACTGCTTGATGTTTTACGCTTTATACTTGTGCAGCCAACTGTTGGCTGAACAGGTAAACTGCAACCCGACTGACTTGCCCTGCGTTCTACTACTACCTTTGGACCGGATAACGTACTACTGGGTGGAACTGGACATCTGGGGATTACACAAACACCAGCAATCTCAAACTGTTTGGGAGGTTTAAATGATGTTGCAAATTTGCAGATGTGCCCAAAAACATCATCTAGGCAAGTGAAATACACAACAACACTCTTCCCTTCCACATCCACCATCCCATCCGCACTGCGCGCATGCGAATCAACCACAGCAAAACGACCACCTTCACCAATGATTGCACATGTATTTCCACCCAATGTCAGAAAACATGTGTGATATTTACTAAACATCTTATCTAATCCAGATCTGAGACTGGTGATTACACCAGCATCAATCAGATCACCTGTCACTACATCAACATATCCAGAAACACAATCCCCATACTCAAAGTCAAATGTCTGTCCATCAATAACAGAGTGTCGGGGCAAATCTGGAACACTAAGCAGTTCCGAAACCTCACTGGTCACATTGCTGTCCCTCAACGTATTGTAGAGCTTATTACCTAACACAACAACCTTGTCCAGATTGTTGGTCTGCCATGAAAACACGCTATCAATGGAGTGTTTTGCTACTGCTACCAAACTGATAGCCATACACTGAACTCCAGCGTGTTGAAACCGAGTATCTGCCTGATGGAAAGATCCCCTGACAGAACTTGCATTACTCTGTGAACTGCCACCCTCGACTACAGCTGCAGTTGCAACTGTGACATCAACATCTACATCTGTCAGCAATGTAGCACTGTCCATGTCAGGATCAACTGAACCGGCTGTCAAAGACACACTGCTAATAGCATACCACTCTGCACCCAAAGACCTCTTAAGATCTCTGATATGGTACATCAGGTCACGCACGGATGTGTTGAAAACAGCTACAGGTCTGCCAAAACTAGATGCCAGCCCAGATGCATCACGAGTCCCCGAATCAACTACCACAAAGTACTTATTGTGATGAATAATCGCACTGACTGAACCTTGGAGGTTTAACAAACACATTCCATCACTCAGCAAAGTTTCCTGTAGCTGTTCATACATCACACTGTCGTCATCCAAAAACCCAAAATCTCCGTACACTGGCGAGGTAACGTCTACCTTCCACTTTCTGCCAAACACACTACCCTGTTCAATCAATTTACACAGTTTAATCTCAACACTGTCCTGGCTTCCTTCAGCAACTAAACTGGCCAACTTGCTGCCTTCTGCACAGATATCATCAATATCTTTCCCTCGCCATGTACAAACCGGAGCAATTGCATGTTTTATCGCAGCTACAACACTACCCGCTATTGATACATTTACGTCCTGAGTTAATGGTGCTGCTGTGAGTTTACCGGAAACTACTGGTGCTATTGGCTCGTTTTCTAAACACCTGCAAGAAATGGGGTTAGCGTCATACTCATCTTTGACGGATCTTGGTGTGCTGACTTCCTCCTCGTCAGCTGTGGCAGGTGATGGGTCTGGGAAGGCATCCACCACGCCTGGTGTCACCGGGGCCTAAAGAAAAACAAAAAGAAAAAAACATGTATTTGTTACTTACATGTTACTTTCAACATACACTTGTGAACCTTAAAGTTGTGTTGTATTTAACTTTAATATATACTGTATCAACAAGAAAACAGCTTTGCATGCACCATTTAAAACACATTTGTGAAATGTGTGATATAACATGCACCAACCTCCTCCTCCTGCGCAGCAGCAACCACTTCCACAGCCGTGGCAGGTGAAGGCTCTGGGGATGTGTCCACCACGCATGGTGTCACCTGAGCCTAAAATAATCAAACAAAAATTAAATATTGTGTATTAACAAAATACAACTTTTACACACACACACACACACTCAAATGAGGTCTTGTCATTTCAACATGTTCAACTTTGTCAACTTGGTGCATACTGAAATATCTTTGCATTCTCCATTTAAAACACATGTGTAAATGTATGGTGTAGCATGCACCAACCTCTGCAGCAGCAACCACTTTCACAGGACTGGCAGGTGTGGGACGGGGACACACCTCCACAACACTAGGTGTTGCCTCAACCTGAAAACAACCAACACAAAATGTAACTACAAAAATGAAATGTAAAGTTGCCATGTATTTTCTAATGATCTAAATAACAGACGAAATACAGCAAACACAAAGAAATATTAAATTATTGCTGCCTGTCTGTCAAACTGTACAAACCAGTAAAATATTTAATATAATAAAAACAAACCTGGCGCTTTGCAGGTCTCCTCTTGCAGGCAACAGCTTTCCGCCTACGTTCCACGACAGGTTTCTAATGTAAAGAAGGAAACCAAATAACCTTTAAAACTATATTTGGGGAAAAGCTCCTTTTGGGCTTAAGCAAATTTTAAAGGGTGTTAATTTCAGGAAGAAGCAGAAACCAACGGATACAATCTGAATGCAAATTACCGTTTTGTCATGTGGAACAGCGGTGCACTCAGGGGTAGGAAGATGGGAAGGGACAACAGCATCCATGACAGCCAACATGGAACTGCTGAACCTCACGGGGTTCAGCGGGATGAAGCACTCCTTCAGCACGACAGGAGTAGCAACAAACTAACATATAAAAAAAACACATAAAACAGTATTAGACAATTTCTTTCATCTATAATCAATGGACAAATAACCAATTAACATATCATAACTATTTATGTAAAAGCATAACAAACCTGCTGTTGAACCTTCATCTTTTTCGGTGCACCAGAGGACTGTGCAGGTTCCTCAGGTACCGGTACGTTCCTCTGTAATGAAAAACAGCAGATATGTTAAAAAGAAGTACCCACTCACCATAACAGAAATAAACTGCTGGGAGAAAATCAGTCTCAACACCAAAATTACAGTGTGCAAATATTACCTTCCTGCCCCTCTCCACAGACGTCCACTCGTAAGGGTTAGAGGGGCGAGGCACGATGACCTCTCCCCTCACAACGACCCTTGGAGTGACGTGACGAACAGGCAATGATGTCTTGGGAGCGGCCTGCGGTTTCGGTACAGGCACCTCCAGTGACTCGTAAGCTGCAGCCCACAGCAAACGAGTGAGGACCACCATGCCTTCGCCATCACTCAAGTGAACCTGACCAAAAGTTAGAGTAATACATTTAGTGATCATAAAGTGTACTCTCAATTTGCATCTGCTATGAACTGAACTACTGCCATGTGTACATCAAACTTTTCCATTTCGTCACAATATAATCTACTTACACCATCTGGGCTCCACAGGTCCAAGTTGTTCAAAGGGAAGTGGCCAGAAGACGAGAAGTACTTGATACCTTAAAAAACAACAAGAAGCTGATTAATTATTTACATACTTAAAATAGATTATCCTTTTTAAATTACAAAATAATGACTATTATGGGCAAAATAATAATAATTCATTTTAAACATACCCATTCTTGCTGCCACTCGATGGAACTCTTGACGCATGAACTCTTGTAGCTGAGGATCAACAGTCAGACGTGGCACAAAGTCCAACACAAAGACCTGCACGTAATAATAGTTGTTCATTAATAAAGTACTTTTCCTCAAAATGTCATAACCTTTAAAATAAATGTACATTATACTGTAATAGCTCATGGAACCAAATTAATCCTAGTACGAAAAGGTGCAATAGTAAATACAATATAATCAATAACCTACATTGGGCCAACGACTGCGGGCACTGTACAGGAGCTTCTGGAAGTCAGCTCCTGCCTCAAGGGGGGTCCGGCTGGCTGTCAGGTTGTTGCTGGGGGCCATGATGCAGACTGCGTCCGGGGTCCGAGGTACGACAGCGTTGCGTAACTCGGTCCTCAGGTCGGACGCACAGGCCCCCGGTGTGGACATGACACCAAAGGAAAGCATTCCCTCTGGCATCGGCACAATCCCGTCTGCAATGGAGCGCAGATGGGACGCTCCTACAATAAGAACAAACTGGGGAGGGGGCACAGAAGGAATATCATTAGAATGAAAATCACTAATCAATCATCAGAGCAGATATTTTGTTTATAAATTGCGAAATGCATTACCTTCTTATCAGGAGACTCAGCAGGGATGACCAGCTTGTGTTGGCGGCCCGTGACTGAAACTGGCCATTTCCTCACACGATGGCGTGTACCGGTGCCACGGCCTATTATAAAACACAGAAACAAACACCAAAATAAAACTTAATTAACCACTGCAAAATTAGTTACGACACATACACACCTTACACATATAGGCAGAATAGTTGAATGAATGAAACGTGTACTTACGAGGAACAAAGTCACGATTGGGCCACTTAGGTTCCACGGTAACCTTCTCGCGCTCTGCCTCCCTCCTCCGAGCAGCCTCAGAGCGACGAAAGGACTTGCCACGTGGCATCTAAAAGGATGCAAGAATAAATTATAATGAGTTTTAATCACACTCACGAGACACTTTAAGGCAGGGGTGTCAAACTCATTTTGGTTCAGGGGCCACATACAACCCAATTTGACCTTAAATGAGCTGGACCAGTAAAAGGCATAGTTAATAATAATTATAATAATAATAATAATAATAATAATAATAATAATAACGCAGGTCTGCAATGATGAATGAAATGATCCGGATGTAGTAAAACGCACAGACTCAGAGCTTCAGAGGGTTTTAAACCGTTTCAATGTCCTACACAAATATAAATGTTTAAACTTCAGTCAATATATACATAATGCACATCATTAGATCATCAGTTATAGAGTCTCCACAATTCAATCGCTCACTTCATTTTACGGAAACTATAAACACCAAAGTAACGTTATAACGTTGATTCATTCGGACTTAACACGGTAAACAACAGAGACGGTAAACAACTCTAAAGCGGGAATAAAGTCTGTACGGTCTGTGTCCGTTCCTCCATTAAGAGTCCATGTATCACTACAAAAGGTTTCCTTACATTAATATCATCATGTATAGTCCGTCACTCACGGTCTGTTTACTGTCTGTACGCCGGCCGGATGACGTAAATATGCAGCTGACGTAAAGCGGCGTTCACGTTCACTGTCATGGCTGCGGCGCATATAAACCAGCAGTAGAGCTAAAATGTACCGTAAGTTACTATTACCATACGAAACTGAAGAGAAACAGTACAGTTAGAGAATATTTCCATATGTGCTGAGCAACAGTTTGTGCTAAAGGAAATAAACGCAGGTCCCCAATTCAGTGTTTTAAGCAAATACACGCCGGACAATTATTATAAGTTTTACGGTATTTTATTTACTGTTAGTGCTTTGTTCAGCAATGCATCATATTCATTAACATAAACATACATTATTATCAATAATACAGATTGTAATTGTTAAAATTAAACTCACCGTAGAAGGCAAATCCTCTGCTTCCAAAGTGAATGAATGTGTGTGTGTATGTATAGATATATATATATTTATATATATATATCTCTCTCTCCAACTCTCTCTCAGTATCTCTCCAACTCTCTCCAACTCTCTCCAACTCTCTCTCAATATCTCTCAATATCTCTCAGGGTTTGCGTACACAAAAACAGCTCCGTATCTCTCTCTCTGTTGTTGTGCTAGCAAGAACGACAGTTAGCTTACGGGGAACCTATATAGGCTACTGGCGAGATTCGAAAAGTTCCGTTCAACCAATCAGAGCGCGGTACAGGAAGGTGGGCTGGATCATTACGATGAACCGTGTTGTACAATAATGTGAAACTGGACATTAATTATCTGATAACAATGTTTAGTACTATTACAATGTTTTATAATTTTCAGAAGTAAATATATATGTGTCTGTTAATTTATTTTAGCTAAAATAAAAGATATAGCCTAAACCCTCAACCCAGCATGAAATGGTTCAGTCCTACCAATGTGCAAACCGTAATTTCTCATTAAAAAAAAACAGAAAAACAACCGGAAATAGAATGTCAAAATAAATGTCATATTGAATGCTTTCATTATAAATTATGTAATGGATTTTTTTTTTTAGTAATTTCGTACCATAAACACAAAAGCGCTAAACAGTAATATGGTTTAAGTACATTAAATATCATGATTAATAAAATTGCAGTTTACAACCTCCCCATTCACTTACTGATTTGTTTACATTAAATAAACACTATCAAATTAATGACGGCTACAGACACTTATAAATTAAATAATTTTAGCATATTCATATACATTTTCCACTACAAAGTTATATGTGTTGTCAACAACACAAGACTGTATGAAAAACTCTCAATTTTCGTGTGGTGACCTATCAACACATGGCTAATTTTAATATTCAAATGAGCCATGTGTTCACAACAGGCGTCAGGCACAGTTGCTAGGTTACCACCAGGCTGTCAATCAAGCTCTCAGCCACAGAGAACTTAACCTTACCCTTTATCTATCCAGATAAAAACATTAAGAACAGTTTCTGTATGATGTTTATTAGACCTATGTAATCTGAATTGGAAGGGCAGTTGTCATGAGCTGTATCTTGTATATTTATTATTAGCTATGTGGTATGTGTATGCACCTTTATGTAATCTGCTGGAAAAACATTAAAATATAAAACCGGATCATACCAAAAAATATCTGCTTGCGTGTCCCGTGTATGCAAAGTGTCCTCCTGTTTGATGTGGAGGAAAGGGCCACCCTAATCTGGAGTTGTAACAAAAGTAATTATTTGTTTGTAAGTATTTATGATTCTGAAATTGATGACTTAAATATAGATGTTCATTTATACTTCTTCATCCATTCAAACACAGAAATACAGTATTACTGTCCAGCTGTATCTTTACTGCCAACTAAAGCTTGTTTACTAATACTTCAACATATCAGGACATAGGATGTGTTTTCTGTGGTACAATATTTCTGGAAATATGAGGCGAACTTGGAGACATTAGACATTAATCTCCTATTTTATAAAAGTGTTAAATGCTTAATAACCACAGAAACTATTTCAATTTTTTAAATAAATTTATTTATTATTTTCGTTTAATTTGTTGGAGTTTCCTCCTGCTCCTCCTCCTCCTCCTCCTCCTCCTCCTCCTGCTGGCCTGGCTCCCCACTGGCCTGCTGCTCCTGCTGGCCAGGCTCCCCACTGGCCTGCTGCTCTGCGACTGCACACATGGACACAGATAAAAATAAATCTTAATTTTATCACTCTTTGATCCAATCAATAAAGAACACAAATATATTCACTCACTCAAAAAGCAGACTTGTGGTCAGTTGAATGTTAATCTATTATCTACTATCACACAAACACACATTATCTGTAGCATGCAAACCACAAAACACCAACACTTACCGAGAGGAAAGGCCACGGCCAATTCGAGGTCCTCCTCCAGCTGCTGGGTGGCCTTGTGCAGCTGCTGGGTGGTTTCCTCCAGCTTCTGCCTCAGCACAACCACCTGCTGCTGGACAGCCCTCAGCTGCCTGAACTGGCGTGCAAGCCCACCCATGGCCCTGGCTTGGGCCTGGAGGACCCGTCTATAAAGGGCAGGCCTCGGGATCTCAAGGTCCATACACGCATACTGTAAATAACAAACAACCAAAGTACATATCAAGCATATCATGATTGATATATGCATATATACATAGAGTGGCCATTTGTCCGGATTTAGGATGGACAGTCCGGTTTTTAAATGCCCTGTCCGGCTGCAGGTCCAGCCTTAAGCCTGACACTCATTTGTCCTCCTTGTGAGAAAATAACAAAAAAGTCCACCTTTTGACACATTACCTTGTTAGTTTAATACTTATTGGCTAAACATGTGTATCAAAATAAGTAATTTCATTGGTTACATTTTCTTGTAGTGACCTGTGAACACATGGCTAATTTAAATATTCAAATGAGCCATGTGTTGATTCGCCGCAACACACTTACAGCAGTTGCTAACCCCAGGCTGTCAATCAAGCTCTCAGGACACAAAACGTAAAGTTAACTAACAATGGTTGTTGGACTGAAATTCTGAAAATGCTCATACTCCCTTTATCTATCCAGATAAAAACATTAAGAACAGTTTCTGTATGTTTATTCGACCTATGTAGTCTGAATTTGAAGGGTACGTTGTTTGGTGTCCCTGTGTATGCAAAGTGTTCTCCTTTTTCATGTGAAGGAAATGGCCACCCTATATGCATCGTACATCAGGAGCAGACAGGAATGCTGTGTTAATTAACGGCGCAGTGAGCCGCTCTCTCTCCCGTTCAAAGTCTATGTAGCTCACCCAGCAGTCTCCCTAGCTCTACAATGTCTCTCTTCAACGAACTTTAAAATATAATAAGCGAACCAGAGCATCCAAACCAGAGTATTTCCTTCACTTGAATTAAACAGCAGTGTTTCAAATAGATGTGTTCGTTTGCAAAACGTGATAGGATAAGTTTCGTTTTCTCTGAATGTGTCTGGAAGCAGCCGCAGTCTGCAGGATATTGGTCTAATTGACGGGTGAACATACTTTTATAATTAAACGTTTCATTACTTTAAATCAGTAACATTAATGCTGGACGTTAGCATGTTTAACCCAAGTCAGGACCAATGCTAATAATACAAACCCACGTTTCATACTTACTGCCGCCAGCTGGAAGTCCACCCGGATGGCCTCCAGCTCCGGGTCACTGACTTGCGGGAGCCGGTCTGGGCTGGTGATATTGCTTCTCTCCGTCATTTCTGTAGAAAAACAACACAGTACAAAATAAACAACCTACAAATAACATCCTCAACATTAATATAGAAACATACAGTGAAAACAACACAAAGTGTCATGCCTCACAGCAACGGGCAGTTGCGACTTACTTGTCCGCTGCAAAACCAGTAATGACCGGATCCAGGAGCCCGCGTGGAATTGGCGCTGGTATGAGATCTCGCGTTTCTGAAACTGTTAGTGCGGGAATGCAGAAATTCAAAAATAAACGGGATTTTAAGGAGACTAATATTGTCAATCAATAATCACACTTTCAATTCAAATGGCTTTATTGGCATGACGTTTGGAATTAAAAATAATAATAATAACAATAAAGGAAAACAATATTTACAATAAATTAATTATAATCTATACTGTAACTATTATTGACTCCACCACAACCACAGTCACAATCAATCAATATCAGTGAATAGGTAATTAATTACAATCAATCAATCAATCAATCAGTTTGTGTCAACTAAAAATGTCATTAAAACAGTAGTAAAGTAACTACAGTTAAAACAAGTAGTCTGTTGTCAATATAATAGCGAAAACAAATTATTAAATATAATATAATATTAAAAAATTAAATAGATAGATAAAACTGTAAATGTGTGTGTGTGTGTGTGTGTGTGTGTGTGTGTGTGTGTATTAAAAAGACAACAAAAAAAAAAAAAAAAAACAACTAAAACAATCAATTATTTTATACATTTACAGAGTTTCCACTGGTTGTACTCAGTTCGTGGCATGAGGAGACATATTTTGCTGCAATAATTTGACTTTTGGGCATTTCTCCCAGTAAATAGGGGAGTTTCTGTGTGTCTGATAATAATTCGAAGTCGGGGTATATTTGGGAAATGTCTCTCTTAAAGTTTTGAATTTAGGGCATGAGGTTAGAAAGTGCAGCTCTGTCTCTACCTGTCCTCTGTCACACTGGGAGCAGAGTCTCTCCTCTTCTGGTAGCCAGTTCTGTCTATGGCGACCCATTTCTATGGCCAGGCTGTGTTCACTCAGTCTGTACATTGTCAACATTTTTCTTAATTTAAGACATTTTATTGTGCTCAGGTAATTTGCCAGTTTGTATTCTCTTTTTAGGGTCATATAACATTGTAATTTATTTGTGTTTTGCTCGTTTCTTTCCAGTATTCAATATATTTTTCTTTTAATTGTAATTTTTCTTTTTTTTTTACTTAATAACTTCCGTCAAAACATCGTGGATGTGGCATGGCGTCCTGTGTCGTGCATTTTCGATCCTTCGCCATGAAAGAGGGATTCGTCATAACTTCTGCGTACATGATCCGACAGCAAAGTAACTTCACTTGTCTGATAAGAGTCCCGCCCTGAACGCATAGTGATAGCGCCACCTAGTGGCAACAGGAAGTAAGCGCTGCAGGGCGATTTTGAGCCGATTTACGTGACATTTTCCTGTTGTGGTCCCCACGCGTTACGACGGCACGCGACGCGGCCGCAGCGCGCCCCGAGTTGCGTGGAGTGCGAGGTCCCGCCCAACGCTGCTTGCAGCTTTAATTATTATTATTTTTAGGACCCTTTGACTGCATTTTTACCCCCCTGAACATATACGAAAAGTCAATTTTATTTGGCAAAGTTGTCAGGCCTGGTGAAAATGCGGAGTTTACATGTGTCACTTTCGGGTCTGCCACTAGGTGGCGCTACTATTGAGAAACGAATTTTCACTTTTTTGTTACTTCATAACTTTTGCATATTTGCTCGCACATTCAAAAAACTTATATCCACGCGTTCGGTGAATGGAGCTGAATCTCTCCATATAGGCCCCGCCCACTTCCGCCTATAATTTTTTTTCGTTACAGTGCGAAATGTCGTTAAACTACTTTTTCGTGTTCCTCCTACACGCTTTGTCCGATTCGCACGAAATCTTCCACCTAGCACCTGGGGACCGCCCTGGCAAAAAGGCTAATTTGAACATTTTTGAAATTTAAAAAAATAAGCACGCTATAAAATTCCAACTTCCTGTAGATTTTTCGTCAAAAAAGGAAGTGGACCATTTCTCCACATTGGTATGTCCGATTGACACCAAACTTGGGTCCATAGTTCCTCATGTCTTCCTTAAGCATCATGCACAATTTCAGGCCATTGCCACTAGGTGGCGCTCTTTAAAATGAAGAAGTTTATATCTCTACAACGGTATGTGTGATTAAGATGAAACTTGGTACGATGCTTCCCCCTGGCTCCCTGAGGCTCACATAAAAAGGACAAAAAAAATACGCCACTAGGTGGCGCTCTTTTGGCATGAAAAATCACTGTGCGGAGACCATAATAGTTATGAATATGAAATTCACAGGGCACGTGTAGAGTAGTGCCTGAAGCTCACATACCAAAAATCGTGTTTGTCCTGTGTGTAGCGCCCCCTACAGGATAAAAATACAGCAGCCCCGGCGCCACGTTTCACCGATATGTACGAAACTCGGTAGGCCCGTTTAGAATGTCGGGACGTACAAAAAAGCCTCTTGGACCCATACCCGACACCCCACAGGAAGTCGGCCATTTTGATTTAAAGTTTCGATTTCGGCGAACTTTTCGCGTTGTATTTGAACGAACTCCTCCTAGGGAATTTATCGAATATGCTTTAAAATTTGTGAGTCCACTCAAAAAATGGTGCTGATTAAAAGTTGTGCTATTTGTGCATGTACGTTGAAGGGCGTGTCCGTGGCGTGCCCTCAAACTTGGCCATAGTGAATTCCGTGCGCATTTTCGGTGATTTTTCGCGTTGTATTTCAACGAACTCCTCCTAGGGAATTTATCGGATCTACTTCAAATTTAATCAGCGCAATCCAAAGACATTCATGATTAAAAGTTGTGCTATTTACGACATTCCGTCAAAAGGCGTACCCGTGGGGTTGCGTTGAATTTCGACCATTCACCATAAACAGATAGTACTCAACTTCAGTGTACAGTCCCACCCTGAACACGTCCTCATAACTTCAGCGTACATGATCCAATCTCAATGAAACTTCACGTGTTTGATAACAGTCCCACCCTGAACACGTCTACATGACAATATTAAGACATAGTGATAGCGCCACCTTCTGGCAACAGGTGGTAAGCGCTGCATGGCGATTTTGTGCTGCGTTACGTGAAATGACCGTGCCAGTGACGACTTGTCAAATTCAGCGGATTCGCCATGAAATGCCACTCATAACTTCAGTGTGCAATGTCCAATCTCCAGTGAACTTCATATATTCTGTAACAGTCTCGCCCTGAACACGTCCTCATAACTTCAGCGTACGTCGTCCAATCTCAATGAAACTTCACGTGTGTTACGACAGTCCCGCCCTGAACTTGTCTACATGACAATATTAAGACGTAGTGATAGCGCCACCTTCCGGCAACAGGTGGTAAGCGCTGCGTGGCGATTTTGAGCTGATTTACGTGACATTTTCATGCTGTGGTCCCCAAGTGTTACGACGGCACGCGACGCGGCCGCAGCACGCCCCGAGTTGGGTGGGGTGCGAGGTCCCGCTCAACGCTGCTTGCAGCTTTAATTAGGGACCTCGCAAGCGACCGCTGGAGGTCCCTATTGTTTTTGGTTCGTTTCTTATTATTATTATTATTATTATTATTATTATTATTATTTTTAGGACCCTTTGACTGCATTTTTACCCCCCTGAACATATACGAAAAGTCAATTTTATTTGGCAAAGTTGTCAGGCCTGGTGAAAATGCGGAGTTTACATGTGTCACTTTAGGGTCTGCCACTAGGTGGCGCTACTATTGAGAAACGAATTTTCACTTTTTTGTTACTTAATAACTTTTGCATATTTGCTCGCACATTCAAAAAACTTATATCCACGCGTTCGGTGAATGGAGCTGAATCTCTCCATATAGGCCCCGCCCACTTCCGCCTATAATTTTTTTTCGTTACAGTGCGAAATGTCGTTAAACTACTTTTTCGTGTTTCTCCTACACGCTTTGTCCGATTCCCACGAAATTTTTCACCTAGCACCTGGGGACCGCCCTGGCAAAAAAAGCAATTTGAACATTTTCGAAATTTCAAACAATAAGCACGCTATAAAATTAGCACTTCCTGTGGAATTTTCATCAAAAAAGGAAGTGGACCATTTCTCCACATTGGTATGTCCGATTGACACCAAACTTGGGTGCATAGTTCCAGGTGTCTTCCTTAAGCATCGTGCACAATTTCAGGCCATCAGCACTAGGTGGCGCTCTTTAAAATGAAGACGTTTATATCTCTACAACGGTATGTGTGATTAAGATGAAACTTGGTACGATGCTTCCCCATGGCTCCCCGAGGCTCCCTTAAAAAGGACAAAAAAAATACGCCACTAGGTGGCGCTTTTTTGGCATGAAAAATCACTGTACGGACACCGTAATAGTTATGAATATGAAATTCACAGGGCACGTGTAGAGTAGTGCCTGAAGCTCACATACCAAAAATCGTGTTTGTCGTGTGTGCAGCGCCCCCCTACAGGATAAAAAAACAGCAGCCCCGGCGCCACGTTTCACCGATATGTACGAAACTCGGTAGGCCTGTTTAGAATGCCGGGACGTACAAAAAAGCCTCTTGGACCCATACCCGAAACCCCACAGGAAGTCGGCCATTTTGATTTAAAGTTTCGATTTCGGCGAACTTTTCGCGTTGTATTTGAACGAACTCCTCCTAGGGAATTTATCTGATATGCTTCAAAATTTGTGAGTACACTCAAAAAATGGTCCTGATTAAAAGTTGTGCTATTTGTGCATGTACGTTGAACGGTGTGTCTGTGGCGTGAGGTCAAAGTTGGTCACTTTGAATTCTTTCGTCATACAAACTGATAGAAAAGTTCAGCTGGGACTGTACATTAAACCGCGTGCCAGTGACGACTTGTCCAATTCAGCGGATTCGCCATGAAATGCCACTCATAACTTCAGTGTGCAATGTTCAATCTCCGATAAACTTAATATATTCTGAAACAGTTTTGCCCTGAACACGTCCTCATAACTTCAGCGTACGTGGTGCAATCTCAATGAAACTTCACGTGTTTGATAACACTCTCGCCTTGAACATGTCTACATGACAACATTCAGACATAGTTATAGCGCCACCTTCTGGCAACAGGAGGTAAGCGCTGCGTGGCGATTTTGAGTTGATGTACGTGACATTTTCATGTTGTGGTCCCCACGCGTTACGACGGCACGCGACGCGGCCGCAGCACGCCCCGAGTTGGGTGGAGTGCGAGGTCCCGCTCAACGCTGCTTGCAGCTTTAATTAGGGACCTCGCAAGCGACCGCTGGAGGTCCCTATTGTTTTTGGTTCGTTTCTTATTATTATTATTATTATTATTTTTAGGACCCTTTGACTGCATTTTTACCCCCTGAACATATACGAAAAGTCAATTTTATTTGGCAAAGTTGTCAGGCCTGGTGAAAATGCGGAGTTTACATGTGTCACTTTAGGGTCTGCCACTAGGTGGCGCTACTATTGAGAAACGAATTTTCACTTTTTTGTTACTTCATAACTTTTGCATATTTGCTCGCACATTCAAAAAACTTATATCCACGCGTTCGGTGAATGGAGCTGAATCTCTCCATATAGGCCCCGCCCACTTCCGCCTATAATTTTTTTTCGTTAGAGTGCGAAATGTCGTTAAACTACTTTTTCGTGTTCCTCCTACACGCTTTGTCCGATTCGCACGAAATTTTTCACCTAGCACCTGGGGACCGGCCTGGCAAAAAAACTAATTTGAACATTTTTGAAATTTCAAACAATAAGCACGCTATAAAATTAGCACTTCCTGTGGAATTTTCATCAAGAAAGGAAGTGGACCATTTCTCCACATTGGTATGTCCGATTGACACCAAACTTGGGTGCATAGTTCCAGGTGTCTTCCTTAAGCATCGTGCACAATTTCAGGCCATCAGCACTAGGTGGCGCTCTTTAAAATGAAGACGTTTATATCTCTACAACGGTATGTGTGATTAAGATGAAACTTGGTACGATGCTTCCCCATGGCTCCCTGAGGCTCCCTTAAAAAGGACAAAAAAAATACGCCACTAGGTGGCGCTCTTTTGGCATGGAAAATCACTGTGCGGACACCGTAATAGTTATGAATATGAAATTCACAGGGCACGTGTAGAGTAGTGCCTGAAGCTCACATACCAAAAATCGTGTTTGTCCTGTGTGTAGCGCCCCCTACAGGATAAATAAACAGCAGCCCCGGCGCCACGTTTCACCGATATGTACGAAACTCGGTAGGCCCGTTTAGAATCTCGGGACGTACAAAAAAGCCTCTTGGACCCATACCCGAAACCCCACAGGAAGTCGGCCATTTTGATTTAAAGTTTCACTTTCGGTGAACTTTTCGCGTTGTATTTGAACGAACTCCTCCTAGGGAATTTATCGGATATGCTTCAAAATTTGTGAGTA